CTGCCAGTAAAACTTTGGGTTTTGACACTGCTCTAGAGTACAACTGAATTTAAGCTGGTGCAGCTGCTTTGTTTCAGAGGTGATAGACCAGTCATGTAGCAATAGTTTTGCTAGACAAAGTGAAATAGTCAGGCCCTGAAAAATGCAAACTATGGTATTAACTTCACTGGGAGGGACTGTGAATTGTTTTTTGTGTATTTAAAGAATCAGAAGAAACAAACAAGAGGGAGATTAATTAGGAGTGGGAGTTCATGACTCCCTCTCCAAGAGAATGAGGAACAGCATTGGACAAACAGCAGCAATGCTGAGATGTTCCTTGGCATTTTCCATCTGAGGTCTGAGAGAATTTCCTTTGCATCCCAGTGTCCCCAAGACACTCATAAACCGCCTTGCTGGTGACCCAATCTGATGATTAACTTGTGTCCCCAGGTTTCATTATCAAGCTTTTAATCTAAGCCTGAACTCTCTGATCTGTCGAATTCTGTAGAAAGGGAATTTGCAGCAGGGTTTTTCCCAGCAAAGAAAACCAATTCATTTGCTAAAGACACTATGTGGGAGATACACTTACAGATACCAGTATTTGGAAATTTGGGTGTTTATGCTGTAGCTTTGGGGGTCACTGATGTTCTACTTCATTTTGAGACTGGATCTTACATTTCCAGTACTGTAAATAGGGCAACAGACCACAAGCAAAAAGTCACAAGAGACTCACATTGATTTTGATGGGGTTTGAGGATAAATACTGCTAAATGTAACATAATGTAAGAATTTGCATTTTCTTAAGCCTTGTCTAGACTTGGATTTGGGAGGTGTCATGCACTTTGTGAATAACACAATGTAGTTAAGGCACTGTGGGTTTAATGCACAACTTTAACGTTGGTTGTTTGCAGGAGGCTGTTACTACATTGTACTTAGCACTTGCTAATCTAGACATCATCGATGGTAAATGAAAAGAGATGTAACAAATCAAAGGCAGGCTGATCTTGTGGTTACACCTTTCAGATGTGGCCTCCTGCTACAGGCAGGACTGTTTTGCCTCTGACAGTACAGAAATAAGGGCTCCCTGGCCATACCACCACCTATGTGTTGGCTGTAAGAGTAAGAGGCTGTGGGGCTGTGTGTGAATGCTGAGGGTGTGGGTGTACAAGGTGGGCTGGAGTGACACATGGGGAGTGAGGGGTGACTAAATGACCGAAGGGAGAGACCTGAGCATGCAGCTGTCGGGTATAGATTTGGGGGTGGGGAAGGGCAGTGGTTATATAGTTGGGAGTGGGTGAGGATAGGGTAGTTGTGGTAGCACAAACATAACTTGGTACCCAGAAAGGCCAAGCACATATTTCTTAAAAAGCCACTAGCATCTCCATGTCCTCCAAGGCCATGTCAGGAAGTGTCCCCTAAGAGTAAACCCAGTGCTTTTGGTGTCTGGGTTGGCCAGCCCGGAGGGCTGAGGGTCCAAAGGCTCCAAAGCACAAGCCCTTGCCTGGAGCTATCACACAGAGCCAGAAGCTGAATTTCAAGCAGAGGAGTCCGGCAGCCGTTCCCTCCTGATGTCACCCATCCTTGGTGCACCCAGACCTGTATGATGTAATCTGATCCATTTTCTCATTAGCCAAGAACTATCGTTCAGGGCAGATCCATTATCCTGGCAGAGGAGGCAGATGGGCACATGGTTACCTCTCATGTAAAATTGTCTTCTGTGACTTTTCCTTCACCACCACCATTTCCACACTGCTGTTGGTGGTTGTACACTGGGACAATAGAACCAGTGAGAAAGATTGCTGCAAGTGCTATAGTTAGGGGGAAAGATTCACTCTGAAGTCCTACCAAGCCATCACGATGGGCTATTCTGGATACTGCAGTTACACTTCACTAATTCCTCAAACTGGACCCCAATCCAGCTCTAACCCAGTAGGGCCAAAGTGCTCTGACTTCCAGACAGGAAGATCAGTGCTTGGTACATGAATTTATAGGAAACCTTACAGAAATTAACATGAACCCAGATGTGTGATTTGAGCCTACAGCTGCCTGTGATAAATTCCTGTTTTTTCCCCAAACTAACTCATCTATTTGAGTGCTGCTTAAAGCATCGCTGAAGTTTGCAGAATATGTCATGTAAGAATACAGGTATGATTTTCATGGTTATTTGAACCTTGTCTGATGAACCAGGAATTCCTTTTTCTTTACTGGGCTCTGTCCCCCTCGCCCCGGTCCTCAGTCCACCATGAAGCCACCAGTCATGTAAACGCCTGCGCAAACATACTGCACATGAGTCATGCAGCATCTGTTGCTATTTATTAAACTGTGGTTTATATCTTCAGAGTACATGGTATTATCCTTCATGGATGTGGCTTTATCTCTGTTACTAAAATGTGGAATTAATTAAGAATATTAAAGTTTGTGTTTAAAAAAATGATATTCCTAACTTTTATCTATGGAGGCAACATTTTCATATCCATTCTCTCCTAATGGCAGCATCCTTTGGGAAGATGTGATAGACACATTTAGGTAAATATTATTCTTCTAGCACACATGGTTTCCATTGCAATTGATCCCCTGCTGTTTCTTTCCAAGCACTTTCCTCTGTTACATATTCCACAATGGTGGCTGAAATACTGATCAGCGATAGCAGAGACAAATTGACTCCAGCAACTGGGAGCTTTAAGGGCAGCAAATGTTTATATCTGAGTTTTGTACGTACCGTAGTTACTGAAATACCATTTTAGGCATGCACTGAGATTTTCACTGGCATTGAAAATCTGAAGTTGCTTGAGGCAGTTTGTAATTTAATAAAAGGATAGAATGAATAAAGACTGACTGAGATGGGACATAAAGATAGTGCACTACAAAACAGCCACATGGGCCCAAAGCTGCAGAGAATATCCTTGCTCCCAAAGCCTCCCCTCCAGGCTGGGAGCAGCCTGGGTGCTCCACACAGACCTGGCACAGAAGCTGCACCTGGGCTACTCATGAGCTGCCTGGAGCTTAGGGGTCACAGGCTGCTCACTGCAGGCTAGCAGAGAATTAATTCTACATGCTTTATACTGGCATGGCCATTGGAAAAGGTTTCTTAGCAGATGATAACAGCAAGAAGCTGGGAAAAATCAGGGTGGGAACTGCTTTTTTCGACCACTGTTTCCTCAAACACATATCAAGCTATAGCTCTAGATGCAGCTGGGTGATAGAACATTTTCCCTCACCCAGCATTTGCTGGGCACCATTCAGCTGCAGTGGGATGTCACCCCAAATCAGACTGAAGCCAGCATGCCCACCAGGTGTTACATGCTGTGGGGGGCTGCACAGAGCACAAGAATTGGTGTGTACACTTTTACCAGTGTTATTTGTGGCTCTTCCAACTCTCTAAGATGTGAATGGAATTGGACATAAATGTCTGCTTGTGCCCTAGCTGTTTGTCTGTGCTAGCGTGATGAATGTGCTCATGGGGGTCCAGGCTCTACAAATGCATCTACTCGTTTGCAGGGGTGGTCTGAATGTCATACAAAAGCCACTCACTCTGGCAACAGCAGATGGAGCATTGGGATTCTTTGAAGCCTGGCTTATTTATTTATTTCTAACACTAATAATTGTTGTTGTTATTTGTTAAGCACTATGTGCTCAAAACTTTCATATGGTCATGCTCCCAGGCTCTAACTGCAGGTTTGATGCTGGAACCTACATTTATACAAGTGACATTGCCATAGGGGCTGGACCTGACTGGCTGGCAGGCAATCATACAATGAAAACTTGATGGAAAAACCTGCAACATGAAAGGAGCATCACATGACTAAAATACACAATGTCTTTTTGCCAGGAGAGATTTTTAAGATGGGAAGACCTTTCTAACACAAACTGGAATCATGTCAACTTTTGTATTCTCTCTTTCTTCCTCTCTGAAATGACCCCAGGCTGGCCCTTGCGCTTGCTTTGGGGAATGTACTTCTGATTTATATCTCAGGAGGCTAAGAGGTACGAGAGATACGGAATAAACTCTCATTACCTCCTGCTAATGTAATGCACCACACAGCAGATGCCTGAAGCCCTGCTCAGTGGGGTCAACGTAAAACAATAGTGGACCCCTGGCAGGACCTTTCCTTCAACTTCCACAGGACCCTATGTAATGGAGAAAGTCTTCTGTGACTGTCCATTTAAAAAGCCTTGCCTTCACAAAGCCTGCAGCAATGTGGCCCTCACTAAGAGCCTTCTTGTTGTGCTAACTAGGAATTCTCATTAATTAATATCACTATCAGCGTCCTTGAGCCTAGGTATAAGCAGCAGGGGTTATAGTGCATGAGAAAGCCCCCATGCAATAGCATTGCTGGGGGTTAAGAGAGTACTAACGAGCTGGAAGCTGAGATCCTGCACTAGGAAACAAAGGACCAGATCACGAAAAACACAGCACAACCTCAGGCATCTTTAGTCAGGGGATATCCCAGCTGCTACAGGGGCCCACACGGCAATAGCCACACTCCTGTACCCGACAAGGAGTCAACAGCAATGTCCCAAGAGCCATCATTTCCATCCAGCAGCACGGGCTAAGTGGAAAATTCAATGTGGCATCACACAGAGGCTGCAGTGTGGCTTTCCTGCACAGGCCAGGGACCTTGCCTTATGAGATGTGAGGTCACTGGTGATTTGTGCTCTTCCCAATCCTGCTACAACAGAAGAGGTACCATATGGTCACTGCTTCCCAGCAAGCCCTCGAGAAGCACATTACATTGTCATCTCTTACAGCCTGAAATTATACTAACCCCCACCTGTTTTTCAGAAACCACATCTACAATTTTAGGTTCTCTTCTGCACATGTGAGCCTTCAAGCACAGCCACAGAGTGTCCTCCAAGATGTAAGTGTTCAAGGGGCTTGGCAACATGCAGTCACTGCTTAGAGAACTCATGGGTTGTCCTCAGGAGTGGGTAATGATGTGAGGTGAGCTGAAGGTGAGAAATCATCTGTTCATTTGGTTGCAGTAAAAGACTTAGAAAAGAAAAAACTTTTCACAGCATGCTTAGAATAAACATAGTCATTCTTTATCATACAGAGTCACACCTTACACATAAATAATTTGAATGTCTCACTCTTTCATGGAAAGTAACAAAGAAAAACCTTCAAGGTTGATACATGGGAGCTGGCATTACAAATCTTGTGGGGTCAAACCCAAATCCTGCATCCAAACATGCACACATTTGGTTCCAGAGTTGACCTATATACCACCTCCCTCCCCTGCCCTGGAAGGAACTGAATCAGCACCCTCCTTGGAAGACCACCCCCATCATCAACCTCTGGTTACGGATCACAACCCTGCAACCTTGGCCCCATCTGAAACCCAGTCCTTTACATTAGCAGTGGTATGAAATCCTGGCAGGCAGCTGCAGAAGGAGCTGTTGCCTTCTCCAAGGCGTATTATCCATAGGTTTTCAGAGGTGACGGAACTAACTAAGCCTACCCAAGCCAGATCCCTTGCAGCTATTCCTATTTCTTGGCTGACAAGCTGGTTACCAAAGCAGAGCAAACCTAGGTATTGCACAGTCTAGCGACATTTGACTAAAACTGGGAGCATTTAGGCAGAACAGCAGTGTGGGAACAGATAAAAAAGCTAGCGGGGCTGCAATGAGAAATCTGAGCTTTTATCAAGGAGACAGCAGCATTTGACTCTGAGCTGGCAGGGAGATCCCATCCCAAAGCAAAATAAAATATGTCTTTCTTTTCAGCAGATGAAATTCTCCCCAGTGGTTTGTTCCTCCCAGGATCATATTATGTGATCTTGTTGTCTTTAAAGTCTTTCCCCTGAGGAAGCTGATCGTTTAATATAGACTACAGCGTCAGCATCCGGTATTAAATCAGTCAGGCTACTCTGAAACGAGGCGAGTGGGCGTCCTGGAAAGGAAATAAAAATGCAAGTTTACTAGAGGAGATAGGTTCACCTTGACCCATGCTATTTATTGCGAAAGTCACAGGAACACACTGCTTGCTCAGTGGAGGCTCACTCCAACCTGCCATAGTTGTGTTTTACACTCCCAGTAAACTCCAAAAGCTCACCAAGCATGCACAAGGAATGCACAATCGAGGCACATAGGCATTGTGTGTCTTGCTTTGCTTTACCAAGGTGCCCTAAGAGGGACTAATATGTTAACTGCAGTTCTCATTAACCCAACTGGCAAAGTCAGGTACTCGGCATTTCAGCCACACACTTTTAGTATCTTTGACTGCAAAGACGTGCTGTAAAAATGTGAGAAAGAAAATGTCAGGAAGAGAAATGTTAACAGACCGCAGGCACAGTGCGGGACGGCAAGGATCAGCACCCGAGCCAGGTGCTGCACAAAGGGTCTTCTGTTCCACGTGCTGCTTCTTCTGCATCTCCACTGCTGTTTTAAGCGTGGCTGCTTCCAGCCATGCACCACACACAGCAACTAACAGCCTCCCCGTGAGGACGCCAGATGTGATGCATTAGGCACAACTCACACAATCCATTGCTGGTGTGAAACCAGCTCAAAGAGATCTATGTTGCATCAGTGTAAGGGCTCTTATGTCACTAGTTAGCCACACACCAGTTAGTTGCACACATGGAAACCCATGGAAAAGCTGCAGTTTTGGTATTTTTGCGGGTTTTTTTAAAAATGTCACGTGAGCTGACAAGATGCAATTCTTCAGCACCACCATGAGTGAAAACACTCATTTACCTCATTTAGTGTTTCACTTTATAAGTAACAATTTAGCCCACAATTGAAGTGTCAGCTAAATGAGGTAATTTATCGTAATTCTGAAAACATGCTAACTGTAAGAGGCTATAATCAGAGTTAATTACAGGGACATTTTGGAAATCCATTGGTTTGGGGCTTTAGTTTTGATAAAAGGGATAACAACTTGTAAGCTATGATTCTTTTAATTACAACAATAGTAACCACCTTCTTTTACATACCTTCTTTCATCTCTAAAAACCCCACAGCTCTTTGCAAACTATACATACCACATGAACTGTTTAGCCTAACACCAAAGTGAAGCCACCTCTGCATGAAATAAGTAACTGTTTAACAATACGTAGCAGTCCTGTGCAAAATCTGTCTAGAAAAGAAGGTGTAGAAAGAGAATATAATTTCTCTTGTGTCTCCTTAGAAATGCTCAGGGGATCCTTGGATACCCACTGCAGCAGCCACCTGATCTTGAGAACAAGGAAGGCAGCTTTTACACACACCCACAGACTCAAGGCACTACAGAGGAGGGCAGCAGCATCATCCCCACTCGCGACTGAGGAAGCAGGGGCACCACATGGCAGTATCCTGTCACATCTGCTCAAGCTCACCTGTCCATGTCCTCTGTTGGGTGACAATAAAACTTTGACACTGCGATTGGGAGTTACAAATTGCAGCAGCTTCCTCAGCGCCGTGAACAGAGAGCAGGCATCCCAGGTGGCTGTAGGAGGGCCAGCACTTGTAGTCTTCTCCTTCCACTGTTCGGAAGCCCTTTAGGGAGATGTAGTCTGGGAACAGAAAGAGGGTGTTTAGGGAAACTCTTTAAGAGACTTTCAGAGACTAGTTACACTATACACTTTGTATGTTGCACTTCAGTGAAACTCTTAAAGAAAATGGGATAGTGACATATTGAACTGACCTCCTTAGATGGAGCGGGTGGAGCTGCAAAGTTAAAAGAAACCCAAATCCTGACTTTTGGTTCTGCTGTGGAGCACAGGACAGCAATTCCCCCACAGATATAAGAGAGGGGCCAGAGCTCTCAAGGATGAAGGGACAGGGAAATGACCTCAGGGGTGGGTGAAGAGGGGGGTCTGCTGTTCAGACCCACAGATTCTCTGCTTCTTTTCCAGAGAAGCCAACCTGACAACAGCCTCTCCTAAACCTCATCCCCAACAACAGAACCAACTCATCACAGATCCAGCACCAAGTTACATGGGGCACGTGCTGACCCACCCATCATGGTGTCACCCACAGGTACAGGAGATTTCGGAACCCCAGTGTGGGAAAGAGAGGCCAGATCCTGCTCCAGTGGGATACAAAAGACCTGACAAGCCTGAGCAGGTGATGTTTGGGCTGTTGTTCATTGACAGTTAAGAGTCTCCCTCCACCTTCCCACACCTCCAGGATGGTGATCATTCTGGCACATTGCTACTGGGCCAGTTGTGAAGCCAACAGGTAGGTGTTGCTGGAAAACACTAGTAATTCCTGTTAAAGCTGATGGTCCTTCAGTGCAAATTACTGGATATCTTTGTTCATAATGGTGCAAATTCCACTTTTTTCACACACATAGAGATTCCCTTTCACAAGCCACCATCACTCCCCACCATCTTAAGTGAAAACTCAGCAAAATGAAAGCCTCAATAACCACTGGACTTTTGAAGCCTTCCTTTGGATTAGCCTCATCTCTACCACCAAATGGGTCCTTTCGAGAGGAATGCACCTCATCAGGGCTCATTTATCCATTCACAGGTCCAACAGGATGGTCTTCAAATAAAGAAATTTAGAGGCCACCAAGGCCTCAGTTACTCTGCCACGCTCATCTCCTCACTGTACATTCCCATAATAACCTGTGCTCAGCATTCAGAAGCCACCAAATGAAATGGGAAGTTTCAATATCAGCCTGGAAAAGTGACCTATTGGTCCACAGGATAAGATGACCCCAAAGAGAGATAGGAGACATTGAGTTTGCTACTCTGGTCTGGTTGCTTAAGCTATTCCCAAATATATTCACTTGAAACACTGATGCACATTATGAGAACAGTATTTAGAAGCAGTGCAAATGTAGGTCCATATGTAGGCCAGATTGTCTGCACTGCATTTACTTTGCAAAACAATGCAATCACACATAGATCCCATGAAAAAAAAAACCAAAGAAATGCTCAAAAAAAGATACTTCTGAATGTATGCTGCCTGAACGTATGGGAGATCAGAATCTGACCAGTTACCAAGTTCCTCACTCCCTCAGTAGTTATGTTACTTAAAGCATTCAAAATCATGTACCTTTTAAAAGTAGAGGTCTTTTCTGCAGATAGAGCCCGGACTTGTATAGATGTAAAACCTTTTCAAAAGCTTGCAAGGTTTCATTTATTCCATATCGTAAATCACCTGCATTTAAAGAAAAATATTACAAAGATGAGTAATTCCATGAAATACCATTTAGAGACTTCTAATAAAGAAGTTTATGAATATTAGTTAGTACCTGTTGCATTCAGAATATCACTCAAAAAGGGACGCAAAGCTGGTGGTGCAGAGTGTGGCAAAAGATAGGTGAAAAAATACCTGCAAAAAATCCCACAGACTGATTAGAATACAGTTGCTAAATTTGCCTAGTGATTAAGTTGTCTACGTTTTCCTGTGACTTGAGTATCCATATGCAACTAATAAGTCTGCTTTGGTTCTTAAGCTCTGTTTGAGCACTTCACTGGCATCTCAGACCATCACTGTGAGTTAGGCTGAAAGCTTGGTCCTTGCAGCACAGCATGCTGCCAAGCACCGTGTGAAATCCACCTTGCAAAGGCTCACGCAAGAGAGCTTTCCCTCATTCCCTGGGGCCATTTTTGTACCCTAAGCAATGCATTTCCCATCAAAAATAGACCTGAATAAAAGAAGACTCAAGCAAAGAGCTCTCTCTTGCCCTGAAAAGGTTTAACATTCTTACTGCCCCTGTAAAGGCAGAACGACTCATTCCCTGAACCTTCCAGAAAACTCCTGTTCTATGAGAGACAAGCGCGTCACTGCAAGGCTGCAATAATCTATGCAAGGATTTGCCCTTCAACACTGAATCCTGCAAATTCGGGCTCCCTGACTAAGTCCTTCTGTGTAAACACCCAGCTTCCAAGGCTTCCCTCCAGTACTTGATCCGCCAAGCATCAACGGTGAGTGGAAGTCATCATGCTTTCAGCTGGTGGCCTACACAAAGTGCTGCAGCAGTCTCAGCCCGCTGCCCATCAGCTGTTTCATTGCTCTTCCATAGGTGCCCGTAGTCACCATGGGGAGACGAAGTGTTAGCCAGCCTGTTCCCAACAATGGGAGCTCGAAGCTCGTGGGCTTTGGCAGGTAGCCCACACGGCCACTGCATTCAGCAAACACAGCCTGTGGATGTGAAGCACCAGGGCTTGTTTGGCAAATAGTAAATTCACAGGTGCAACCTCTGGGGCAAGTTTCTAGAGGGCACTGGGGAAAGGGAGCAGCAGAAGAAAGATACCTTCATTCTCACCAGACAACTACACTGTTTTCCTGCCTTATAAGGAAAATAAACTTGCTTCAAAGCGATCCTTAACCACCTTTACACAGAGGCGAGGGTGAAGCACTGCATGGAAGAAGTGCGAGATGCTAGAAGCTACATGGCAACATATGAGCTCAACCACCCCAGATTTTCCCCCCATCTCTCTGGACATACCGATATGCATTGAAAAGATTCTTCTTTTCATTTATTCCTTCACACTTCCCAACCGCAGAGCATTTGAGAGGGAAGCTTTTTGTAGGGAAGACGAGTGTGCAGTCATTATCTTCCTTGCATGACAGTTCCTCAGTGCTGGCATCATCCATGTCTGTCACTTTTAGGTTTCCATCCACCATAACAAACTGCCTCGGCTGGAAATCCAAGAGGACTATTGAACCCAGGGGGGAATGTGCCAAGTAAAACAGCAGTTTCACAAGACTCAGGCAAATCTGAGAAAGAGAAGATGAATATGCATGGGAAAAACAGACGAAAAACAGCTATTAAATTGGAAGTAGAACAAAGGGGAGGGCACTCAATGAAATTAAAGGGAAAAAAATGCGTATAGTACTTAAAAGGTAATTATATGTATGCTACAAAATTTATTATCAACATTGCCACAAGATTTGACTGGTAAGTAGTTTAGCAGCATTTTTTTCAAATGTGCATATACAAAAAGAGACATTTGCAGTTAGAGCAACTAGAGGAGAAAGCTGTGAGGAAAACAATAGCAGCCTTCATGTTTTGGGAGCTATATTGATTTGCTAGCTGAAATCAGAAGAGTTTTTTCCCACTCTGGCATAGAACTCATACATTCCCCTCCCTCCCCCCATGCTGCTCCATACAGACTCAGGCTCCATGGTCATTAATACCAGATTCATGCCTTGCTGCATCACTCAACAGTATGAATTCGGGCATACAATTGTGCTTTTGGAGAATTAGCCAAAGCATGCAATATATTTATTGCCAGCTTTTTTGTTTTCATGTCAACTTTCTGGCTGGAGGGAAAGATCACACAATACCTGATCCAGCAGAAAGCTCGCTAAATGATTTCTGAACAAACTAGATGACTGCATTTATGTTGCACCAGCACTTTGTTCAAGCAGCTTTTTGCAGCAGTTTTGATTCAGTATCAAGTGCCCTGGCATTAGATGAACTGTATCGTCATCTAGGTGTGCCTGGCAGACCCGCGCCACCCCTCGCTGCCTCCGATAGCGATCTGTGCAGGCATGAGGGTTTGTTCACTTGGCACAACTCACACAATCGCTGGTATCTGATGTGGCTCATCAGAGGGGAATCCCATCCGTTTAGATGCCCTAATTAGGAAACAGGACTAGGCAGTGCCAGTATAAATTCTGAATTAATATCTTTATCAGTCAAAAGATTATGAAAATCTTACTGCCACTGTACCAGACCTCACCAGCTAATCCAGCATCATGGGTTTCTAGCTCTACAGGAGATTTTGGCACATTTGAGAAGAGGAGGTGCTGGGAAAAAAAGCTATGTACAAGACAGTGTGAAACAGTTTGTAAGCAGAAATGAAACTCCGCTGGCCAAGAGAAATGACTCTGGAAGCTCTGATGCTACTTTAACTTGATGAGTGAAGCAGTCATAAGAATCCCAGCTCCACGTCCTACAGCTGAATGAGCTCAGTTGCCACACTTCCCCTCTGGCTTGGATGGCAAGGAACCTCTTCAACATTAAGGACCACATGCAGGCAGGGGGGTTATTTTGGGAGTTTTGTTGTGGTTTTATTTTGCCCAGAGCATTTCTTATTGATATTAAGGTACCCATGCTTCTACTTGACACTCTCTTTCCTCCTGGGACCCAAACAAGCAGCAGTGAACCCCCATCGGAGACCTTGAGGCAAACTGTAATACAAGCTATAACCAAAATAAGTGCCATGTCGTAAGTGACTTGTTTCTGGGGAGCTTAAGAGTCCGTATGTGGGATGCTTAGGAGACAAGGCAGATCTCACTAACGGGATGTGATTCTAGCACCTACAGCAGGAGGAAAGCAATTTAGTAGTGTTTGTACTACAGTCATACCTAAAGGGCTAAGATCAGAAGCATCATACAAACACATGGTGAGAGACCGGCTGCTCAGCTTGCTGCCGAAATCAAATAACACACAGAAAACAACAGACTCACGGTGCGGAGAGGTGGCTCTGCCGAGCTAGACTCAGCCTGCCGAGGGGCCACGCTACGAAAGCCCCTCTGTGGAGTGGAATAATATCGAGCGGAAAATGAGCAATACAGTGTAACACTGGGTAGTGAAGACCACCCCAGCCCTGAGCAAGATTGTGTGGCCATTTCCCCCCAGGCGTAGCTCTTTAACATTGCTCTAGAGAGAAAGAATGTGAGACACCAGGCTAAGGTTATTTTAATGTGATTTAAAATGAGTGAAAGCGAAGCGATTTAAGGACCATTTGCGGGAGCGAAGCGGCAGCATGACCATCCCGCTGGCCCCAGCGGTCCCCACGGGCTCTTCGCATCTACCCGGCTTGCGCTCAAGAAGCAACTGATAAAACTCCCTTTGTTTTCTTACTTTAAATCGCTCCTCCCAGGGGGTCTGCAGGAGCTGAATCATCTCCAGGGGGGATCCCAGCTCCAGCATGGCTGTGACCCGTATTTCAGGATCTCCGCTACGATCATAGCATTGACCGTGCAGCTGTCGGGAGGGAAGAAGCGGTGTCAGAGCGATGCCGGAGCGATGTCGGAGCGGTGCCGCTGTCCGGGCCGCCCGGGGAAGGGCGGGGGGGACGGCGGGCAACACGGCTGGCTCCACTCGGCACCGACAGCC